GTGTGTCTCATCTTCACGGGGTCGTAAAGAGTGCAAGCTGCATTTTTTTGTTGGGGGGTTTATGTTAGGAGGACCCCCCCCCCCCCCGAAATAGTAGTATGCTGGGAATATGAGAGGGCCCTATAATCACTATTATCGTGTAGGGTTTAGTATGCATGAGGATCCGAGTAGTGGCGCTGTATGCAGGCCTTGACAGATGCGTTGTAGGATGAGACCCGAACCTAAACTCAGTACGTCCGACTGAGGGATAGATGTCAAGCGCCCCAGGCTTTTTGAGTTCGAAGGTGGCTTCGGTTGTTTTCTTGGCAGGATGATGAGCCCTTTAGGTTGTGTTGAGCCAGGTCATCCTGACCATCAGTCCCATCGTGGCGCTGCGGGAGTATGTTGCAGGTGTGCTGGAGCTCACATGGCGTGAATCCCTGACCCGGCGCCTGGTAGGGCGGTACCTTACCAGTGGTTTGTACGGAAGAAGGGAACATGGGGTACAGAAACGACTATGAGGGATAGTTTGGGAACTACTGTAGGGATCCAATCCCTTAATGGCTAAGGTACCTGTCGGATGGAACTGCATCAAAGCGGCAGTCCTTCTACAGCCTCACGCTGACTGGAGACATTGATAACCCAGATCAGCGGATTTGTCAGGATGTGGGGAACTTTGTGCACACCGCTGTGTCGTTGTCGCAAGACCTGGTGAGGACCCTGTTAAGCATCCTAGCTTTTGCGCCGACCCTGTACGCCATCTCTCCCACAGCATGCTTTGGGGTAATTGCATATGCCAGCTTGGGGACGCTCATTGCAACACGCGGCTTTGGTGCCTGGTTGGGCCTATATCAGATGAAATGCGTACAGCAGGAAGCTGGCCTTCGATACAAACTTATCCGTGTTCGTGAGAATGCCGAATCCATTGCGTTCTTTGAGGGGGGAGAGGCCGAGCTTCGGAAGTTTGACACGGCCTTCACGACATTGCTTGATACCGCGTACCGGCGAGTTCTCGTGGCCTGTGGCTACGGCATGTTGAACCGCAACTTCCAGTGGGCTACCTTCGTAGTGACACCTGTGTTGGTCGGGCCGGCATACCTCAAGGGCAAGGTGGAGTTTGGTGTCATTGCCCAGACCAGCATGGCCTTCAACAGCATTCTGGGTGCAATGTCATTAGTCATGCAGCGCCTGGAAACGCTCAGTGACGTGTCTGTGCGAATGCAGCGGCTGCATCACCTGGACCTGGCCCTCCAAGCCTGTCAAGCTGAACGTGCTGCATGCCAGGAGCCGGGAGTACGTGGCCTTGGGTGTATCTACTCTGAAGTTGCAGAGGGCTCCGTGCGTGTGCGCTTCCGAGACGTGACCCTGAAGACGCCCCTCCGGGCAGATGTGCCACCGAGGGTGCTCTGCAGCCGTCTGAGCTTCGAGCTGCTGGACGGGCAGTCGCTGCTGGTGACGGGCGAGAGCGGAATTGGAAAGAGCTCACTGTTGAGGGCAGCCGCCGGGCTTTGGGCAAATGGCTCAGGTACAATACAGTTGTGCAAAAGGCAGCACGTATTCTTCATGCCTCAAAAGCCATACATGTTCTTGGGATCTTTGCGCAGCCAGCTTCTGTATCCACGCGTTGACGATCTCTTGGTCAGCGACCTTGAGCTCAAGGAGGCTTCATGGATGTCCGACAGAACGATTGAAGCTTTACATACTATGTAGGAACAACAATATAAGGTCTATGCCGTCCTTCTATTCCCCACAACCCTGACGTGAACCCTACTCTCTTTCGTAGGCTGTAGTCCTCAGATCCTGAAGCATGTGAAGGCCCTGCAGCGGGTGCGCTTGGGCGATTTATTGGAGCGACATGATCTGGACGACACCAAGGACTGGACCAGCATTTTGTCACTGGGACAGCAGCAGCGCATCAACTTCGCGCGGCTCCTGCTGAGGCCAAAGTCGGAGTTGGCTCTGATGGATGAGTGCACCTCAGCCTGCGACGTGCACAGCGAGTCCCTCCTCTACGAGCATCTGCAGAAACAGCTCCACAGCTACGTGTCTGTGGGACACCGCCCTGCCCTCCGGAAGTTCCACACCCACGTCCTGTGGCTTCGGCATGTGAAGAGCGACCTGCGGCAGCCCCGAGCTGAGGGCTTGTTCCTGCCGATGTCAGAGTTCCAATCGCTCAACCCAGCGTAAAAAGCATGCATCGCTTGGTCTGTTGGCTGTGATGCAGGAGTTCCGTGTGGGGAGCCCTTGCGGTATAAGGGGTTATTGCGTTTTAGGGTCTGTCGGGGGAAGTCAAACTCTGGAAGGCCCCGGTACCTTCAACTTCAAACATGCCCCCCGGCTCTTTGTCCTCCTGAATGCCAACAGCCAAGCACATGTGGGGGGTTGTAAATATTATGAATGCTATAAGTCGTTTTTGGGTCGCCATCATAGCGCTGCCTGTACTATTTAGGACGCCCCAAACCAGACCATCAACTACTTGACAACTGTCCCACCCTAAAGCTACCCAACGCCTGTACGGCTCTTCTTACTATGCTGCGCACAGTGCCTTTTGTCGGGGCCTCAAGCCCTGGACCTCAAACCCTAATTGCTAAACTCTAGACCCTAAAGCCTACATCGAGCTGAAGACTTGAAGACCCCAAGCAGCATGCTAGGCACAAAAGAGCCGAAATGGGCTTAAACAACTGCAGACCAAACCCGGAACCCTGGACTCTAAACTCCAAACCCTGAACCTGAACCCTATATCATACTCCTTTACCCCTGCTCTAACCCCTTATAACCCCTATTACGTAACCCTGAACCCTGAAGCCTAGCCAGGCAACTCCACCTCTCAGCGGCTCAGCCGGGGCAACGTTTTTTCAGCTTCGGCGCCTCTACAGCCCTTTGATGTGGTCATCACCTCCTCCAAGGCCTTACGTGGAGGTTTGGAGGAGAGAGTTTCTAGTGTTGAGGCTTCAGGGATTAGAGGGGATGAGGGATTAACATTTTTGTGTGGGTTTTTTTGGTTCGTCGCTTGAGGATTTGGATGGCAGCGCTGGGGTTCTGTGGTGTTTTGGGGGGATGTGCGGCATTGTAGAAAGGTTGGAATTTGCTTTACATGGGGAGATTTGCTTTACATGGGGAGATTTCACGCGGTTGTTACCCCCCTTCAAGGTAGAGGCCTTCAGGACGCTTGGAGATTCAGAATGCTTTGCAGTTTAGCGCCTTAGGGTTCATAGTGATCATGCCGGGTTGCATAATTCAGCACCTCGTCCAAAGAACCAGGTCGCCAAAGTAATATGAGCCTTATTGCTAGAGAGGCCCCAAACTGATGCCCAGCAGTGGCTAACATCAGCAGAGCCCGAGCATGCCTGATTAATCACATTCCCTGCCCACCGCCCGTCGCCGGGTCTTAAACACAATTGTGGTAGTTTTGAGGGAAATACTTGCTATTTGGGAAGGGGTTCCTCATGTTTTTTTTGGCCGAAGGGACTGCCAAGACCGTTGACGGTGCAGGCGGAGTACTTATACAGGAGTGGCTGAACTACGAATCATTTGACGGCAGCTTCTTTCCAGCAACCCTATTCACTATTCTAGTCACTCAAGCCGTGGGTACAACTCAAATTCCCAAAGCCTGCCTGGAAATTGTGCCCGAAACCCTGTAGTGAGGCCTCAAACCCCAAACCTGAAATGCCAGTCACTTAAGCCGTTTTGACCCTAAACCCCAAAACCCCTAAACCCTAAACGCCTAAACCCGAAACTCCCCAAACCCTGAACCCCTAAAGCCCCCAAACCCTAAACCCCTAAACCCCCTAAACCCTAAAACTCCAAAACCTCTAAGCCCCTAAACCCCTAAACCCTTAAACCCCTAAACCCTGAACCCTAAACCCCTAAACCCTGAACCCTAAACCCCTAAATCCCTCTTAATACTCCAGAATTACCTACGATAGGGTGTGGAAGCTAGCAGGCAAGTTCGTAACTCCTTCTCAAACCCTCACTTCTTCGCACTTTGCTCAACTTTCTAAGACTCTGATTACACCGCCTGACGACCCTATTCGCCACGTAGTCTTTTCCCCAGGCACCCAGGATAGAATCAAGTGTGCCAAAGGGCATAGCCAACGCTACTGGCTGGAGATGAACGCAGAAATTGCACTCCCTGTACTTAGAGCCTGCGCTGAGTGCAACGCCTTAGAACATAGGAATGACTTGATAGGAATAATGCAACTGTTAGTTGAATCCCCGGGGTTTCAAAAGTATTTGGAGACTGCGCCCGCGCGCCGAAAAGGCCTTCTTGCACGACATGTTAAAGCATTGGGATGCGCATGGCAGCCGTAAAAACCCCCTAAATCCCAAAAAACCCTACGCCCCAAATCCCCACTCTGACCCCAGGCCGCCTCGCTTCCGCAGATCCCCAGCCAGTCGCCCAAGCCGCGCTCGCATCTGAGCCGGGGGTTCACGGGTTCAGGAGTTAAGCGTAAAGGGTTTAGGGGTTCAGGGTTGTGCGGTTAGGGGTTTAGGGTTTTGGGTTTGGGGGTTTTGGGTTCAGGGTTTAGGGATTAGGGTTTAAGGTTTAGGGGTTCAGGGTTTAGGGTTTAGGGGTCTAGGGTTTGGGGTTTAGTGCTTGCTACAATCTATCAAGAGTGTTGCAAATGGGCTCGCCCCATGTGCATATTACCCCCAAGTTCTATGCAGAATCAAATGGAGAAGAGTGTTGAACATGAATTTGCGAAGTGGGGTTTTACTTTGTTTTGAAGGATCCGCGTTTCCGAAAGTCGTTGGTCCCTTTCTAGGGGTGTCGAACATGAGGATCACAATATATTGGGCCCTAACTGGGCCCTCTCATGCATGGCAACGCTATATCATACTTCAAGTTTCTTGTATAGCCCGAAGCTTCTTAAAGGTGTCCCACTCTTGAGAAACCTTCACCGGCAAGGTGGATGTGAGCTGGGTGGGGGGATGATCTGGGTGCATATGCCTTCTCCTTCACAGAAATTGCATTTGGACCATTCTGGCGTGATGACGAACTTTAAGCCCGAAACATTTAACCTTAAACCCTAAACCTTAACCTCCTTGCTCCCATTTGGAGCCTGGATCCTAGGGGCGCCCACGAGGCATGCAGACCTTTTCAGTGTTTGGTGGTTTCCAGGCTTTTATTGTGCAGGAATAAGCGCTGCCCATGAATCTGGATCTTGAAGCTTGGCCGTAGGACCGGATATTGCAGCCAGTAGAGTATGATTGAGTGCCATCATTGCTTCTCGTCATTGTTATCACTACTACCACGTCAAGCCCTCAACCCTAAACCCTATAACCCTAAAACCCAGACCCTAAACCATTAAATCCTAAGCCTTCAACTCCTAAACCCTAAACCCCTGAACCCAAATCCTAAGTCTCCTAAAGCCCAAGCCCTAAACCCTCAAACCCCTAAATCCCCCCAAAGCCGTAAACTCCTTCAGGCAGCCGATCTCCAGACGTTCGGGGTGGTTCACAGCGCGACTTGGCAAGCACCGTGATCTTCAAACAGGGTTTAGGGTTTAGGGTTTAGGGGTTTAGGGTTTAGGGTTTAGGATTTAGGGCTTAGGGTTTAGGGTTGATCTTCAGGACCGTGAGCTTATAGTCTAAACGCCTTAACGGGGAGTATATAAAAGGGGTTATATCGGCGATTGCATAGGTTTTAGGGTTTAGGGTCTAAATCCCTTAAGGGTTCTCGAGAGGATTTTATAGGGGACTACTATGGGGGTTATTAAGGGGGATACAAGGAGTTTAGACTATAGCTCATATTTGAGGCCGTCTCAAACCAGTCCTGAAGGAGGAACCCAGGGGACACTAACGTGGAGGGTAGCTTTTTGGGATTTCTATAATTTCAGCGGATTTGTAGGGATATATAAGGTTAGGGTTTCCCAAAAATAGGGCGACCATTCATTTTGCAGGTACCCGGAAAAAGGCTTGTAGTAGTTTGGGATTTAGATTGGGGTCCCCCTAATTTTGTGGAATTGCCATATGGGGATTGCAAAGAGACTCTGGGGATCCCTGCCAATGATTCTGAGGGGTGATTTTGAGAGGCTGCCATGTGAAGTCAGATTGCACTACGGTTTTGGTGGGTGTGTGTACATCTATAGAGGTTTCCCAAAATTAGGGGTACCTTTTTGAGGGTCCCTATTACAGGGACCATAGCATTTTGGGGTCTATATTGGCGTCCCCCTATCTTGGGAAACTACTATATGTAGAGGGTTCCTTTGACACAGTATATCGTAGTTCATAGTGGGGTGTCCATCTTGGTGGGGGATGAGATGATTGGAAGTCAAATCTCACGGAGACTGTGACTGTTGCCCCATCCCTATCATCCCCAAAGACAGGCAGCGCACAATGCAGAAACCCGAGTTGCTCTCAAGGATGTTCTGATATTTAGCCCAACACATATCACGTGCATTTCAACTTCCTCCATAACAGTTCATCGCTTGTACCAACCTCAACTTGCTGACTGAAACGGACACTGTCATTAAGGGTTCAGGGGGTAAGGGATGAAGGGAGGGAAAAGAAAATGGAGACTGCGATGTTCTTGGGGTTCTACTACAGCGATCCATCCTCACCCAACCTATACGCCAAACCCAAGACCCTAGATAAATGGTGCCTTCGATTTGCTTGTCCATTCCTTCATTCTCTGTGGCCTACTGCTCACTCTACACCTCAAAATACTCTAGTAGTTTCCATGGTCTTTCCATTGCTTCCTGCCTACCCTAAACCCTAAACCCCTAAACCCTCAACCCTCAACCCTAAACCCTCAACCCTAAACCCTAAACCCTAAAACCCTAAACCCTAAACCCTAAGCCCCTAAACTCTACACCTGGGAAGGTCTGAACAAGACCGGCACCCAGCCGCAGCTGTCCCGGGTCATCTCGCAGCGGGAGGTCCTGGACATCTCCATCACCGGAGCCTCCTAGGGCCCTAGGGTTTTGCTATAATCCCCTTTAATAATGGGGAATCAAATGGAAACTGGGATTATCTATACAGGGGATGATAGGGATTAAGGGATTTAGGGTTTAGGGTTTAGGATTTAGGGTTTAGGTATTAAGGGTTTAGGGTTTAGGGTCTTGGATTTAGGTTTAGGTATTAAGGGTTAGGGTTTAGGGTCCAGGTATTCAGGGCTTTTGGTTTAGATTTAAGGTTTTGGGGTTTAATTAGGGTTTCGTGGTTTAGGGGTTCAGAATGTAGGGTCTATGTTTAAGGGTTTAGGGTTGAGGGTTTAGTATTTAGTGTTTAGGATTTAGGATTCAGAGTTCAGTGTCTAGGGTTTCGGGATTGCCAAAATTGGAAGAAGGTTACAGGGTTTCTACAAATAGGTTTGGTTTGTAAGACTTTCATAGGGACATCAGGACGTAGACCTGGTGGCGACAAAGCCCTGGGTTTGGAGGACATTAGCCGAAGAGGGACCTAGTGCCTAAGACGGTAGGTTGTTGTACGTTGTTGGAGTTTCGGGTCAGGCTCGTGCGTCGCATTCCTAGAAATGGGGGGAGTGTTGCGGGATTCTTGGGGTCTCTGTGAGGGATTGCAAAGAGATTCTCTCGAGAAACTGCTATGTCTGTCCTCCTTGCAGGACTCTATAAGTTTGGAGCGTTTGAGTTGGGATCTTGCTTAATACGTCCGGAGCGCTCAAAGTAGATGGCTCCTCATGCAAGTCCTTCCTGAATCAGGGCAATTTCAAACGGCTTCATCTGGGGTATATGCACCACGGTTTATATGCAAACTGGTGGCGTTGGAACAAACAGTTGGCCCAGGTTTCTTCAAGATCCCCACAAAGCCTGTGCATTTGTTCTTTCAGAAAGCTCAGCAGGAGTCGCGCCGGCCGGGGGCGGCCCTGCACGATGAAGGCATGCTTAAAGGCTTGAATTATTATTGAGAGCTTCTTCGGAGTACATTGTATGATAATTGTATGGGTAGCACAAGAGCGAATTGCTGGGTATTCCGGCATCTTAGAGAGGAAGTCCGTGACCAGTCACCTTACATCATTCCCTTCCGCTTGTGTTGGGCATGGTTTTGAGTTTCCAGCTCCTCCTCGCAGAGCCATCCCCAAAGGTTCCACATAACGCCAGAGAAGGAGATCCAGGAGAGTTATTTCTCAGGGGGCTCAAAAGGTAGGATAAAGCTAGGTGGGCTCATCCCTATTGTAGATTCTAATATGTTGGGGCTTATTTCCTTTACCCCACCAACTTTCATCCCACCTTTTGAGCCCCTGAAATTTCTGAGGTCAGAACCGTGGGCCCGTAATGTGGGCCCTTACCTGTTTCCAGGATCCTGGCTTGTGGCTTAATTGCGCTTGTAGGATTGGCTCCCGCGTTGCGGAACGATTTCCAGCAAGAATGTGGATATACTCTGTGAGCGGTTTCCTTGTAACCTATCTCTGGATCAGAGCCTGCTCTTAACAATCTGCTCGGGAGCGATGGTCCTTCACACAACCAGATGTGTGCAAGATTTGAAGCCTTCTACTTCTGGAAGGGGATGAAGTCGGCAAAGACTAAGAATATCGCCAGTTGCCAGCCCCAATCCAATGATGCTGCATGAAAGTGCTCTGTCCCTTCATTCCCTACCACCCTAGTATAGTATCATTGTGCAATCTGAGTAGTATTTATGAGTTATCAGGTGGAGGGGATTAGGACTACAATTCGAGCCCTGTCCTTCTGTATGATCATGTCTGAGCCCGCTGTCAACTGCCCTTGCTGCCAGGGATTGTAGCCGCCTGGGCGTCTGAGACAGCAAGGACGCGGCCCACCAGCGGCACCGCATAATCCTTGGTACATTTGAGGTTTATAGGCCCCCTTAAGTAGATAGAATATGGGGTATACGGTATATGGGGATCTTATTATGATATACCCAAAGGGGTATATTCTATCTACTTAGGGGGGACTATAGGGGTTCAGGGTTTAGGCTTCAGGGGTTTAGGGTTTGGGGTTTAGCGAGGGAGATGGACATTTTTCAAGATGGAAAATCTTCATGGGACAGTGATAACTCTTAGGTCAATTCGGTCAATTCCCCCAATAGTATATAGTGGGGAGTTCATAGGGCTTTAATATGCCTACAATAGTCCCTTGTTGTACCCAGTGCTGGGTGGGGGATTGACCCAAGATAACTGTTAAATCAACAGTTGTTAACCATCAGCGTGATGATTGCTGATGTTATCCGAATCATGAATCATTAGTCCAAATCTACCTATAGAAGATTACATTTCCCAAGCTTACTGGTGGTAAGAAGGGTATAAGTGCATATAATCCCCATGTCTTCCCTTATTCCCTACTAAGCGCCAGTAAGCAAACTTGAGCCCTAAACCCTAAACACTAAACCCCAAACTCTAAAACTACAGTAAACCTTAAACCAGCCAACAGCATACGGTTCTACATTGGGGATATCTCGCAGCGTCACAGTGCGTGCATCGAAGATGCTGCGCATCCATCCATGGGCACCAAGATCTGCAGAACAAGCTTCGCCACTTCGGTGCTGAGGGCATGTAGGAGTTATATGAGGGTAATCTTATATAGAGATAGGTATGTTTATGGGGATGTATGAGGTTTATCTTATATTATAGGATATGCAGGGGTTACAGGGATGTATGAGGGTTATCTTATATAGGGATATATAGGGGTTATAGGGATTTATGAGGGTTGTATTATGTTACAGGGATATATAGGGGTTATAGGGATATTTGGGGGTTCAGTGTTGAGGGTTTCAGGTTAGGGTTTATGGGCCCAGGTATAGGGTTTGTTGGACAACTATCTCAGGAAAGGATAATCAAGTGGACAAGAACATGGAAGATGGAATCGAAGCCAGGATTATACAGGGGGTGTTGAGTTTATATTGGGGCCTGAATGATCAAGATCATTATCTTCACATGGTCCTAACCCTAAACCCAAACCCTCAATCCCATCCTGATCATGTAGGTTCCTGTGTCATGCAGAGTAGTCTAGACCAACGTGGACGCGGACGGTAGGACCCACAAACCCCCTTCTCATGGTAAGGCCGTTTTAGCCCTGAACCCCTGAACCGTAAACCCTCTAAATCTTGGGATGCCCCAGATGATGCTCGACCTGCAAATCATTGCCCTTTGTGATTGAAAGCCGAGTCCTTGCCAGCAGCTGTTCCAACTCCTGGGGGGCGCTGTAGTCTAGTGCTTGTAGGCTTTTAGGGACAGTTCGAGAGGTTTCGATGTTTGCGGCACGTACGACAGCTTGCATTCAGAATTTAACATAAACCAGTGACCTCCTCGCATGGGCTCAACTCATTTTGTTTGGAGGGGGTGTTGAATGTTGTATGCCCGGTTTTGACTTGGAAGAAAAACTGGGCCATGGGATCAACAACTTAAAGGCTAATGCCTGAAACGGGTAATGTAGAAGCCTGAATCATGAATACAGCATAATACAACCATTCTTTCTTAACCGTTCATATAGTTTTAGAGAAATACCGCAACAACTATGCCATGAGGTTCTCTTCAAGGGCTGGAGCTACCAGAGAACAGCACGGTCTTGCTTGGGGAGTGTTTGTTGAGAGCTCAAGGTTCCGTGAGCTATGTAATCCTCATCTTCATGAGGTCTTACAAACGATTAAGCCTAGAATGAGATGTCTCTCAATTGCCTAAGAGAAGGTTTGGGGAATGTCTCCAGAGGTGTGCATACATGTATATGTATATATATATATATATGAGTTATAGCGTTTATGCAGTTTCCATGTGTAGGTTGTAGACTTTTGATATCAAATATGGTCGACACTTCCAGAAAAGAGTATGAATTGGCAAGAGGCCCTAAACCCTAAACCCTAAACCTATCCCCATGAAGAAGAGGACATGCAGTGAAGGCCGCTCTCGAAAGCACAGCAAGCGAATCCTCAGATGCTTGTGGCGGGTACAAAGATGCCTATAACGCTAAGATAACCCCAATATGACCCTAAGACAACCGTAACATAACCCCTATATAACCCTAATATAACTCCACCCCAATATAACCCTGCCTATATAACCCCAATACAACCCCTAAGTCTTCGCAAAAAACTGCTCTGGCAAAGATGGCTCCGAACAGTCTTGACGCACAATGGTGCGCAAGACACCAACGGCTTGTCCATGTTAGCTTACTGGGGGATAGTAGGGAATACGGGAGTATAGTATATAGGAACTGTATAATATAGGGATAATATAGTCCAGGGTTCAAGTTTGCTTAGTGGGGGTTAGTAGGGCATAAGGGTACAGGGATAGGGATTATGTAGGGATTATGTCCCCTTATTTCCTACTAGCACCCAGTAAGGTAGGGCAGAGAAAGTATAGATTGTTGCCCCTGAGAGGTTGATCTTGACATTCATTCACCTGGAGCCACCAGGGCACGGGCCATCACATAGTTAGACAAGCCGGCGAGCGACAGGTTGTACAGTGCCCTAAACCCTAAACCCTAAACCCTGGTCTCACCCCAACAAAAAATGCGCCCGGTGAGTGCAGGCTTTAAGGGCACACCATGTGTGTGGATCCTAGGAGTCTTGGACGGGGCAGGGTGTTCAACTGGGACAGGTATACCCATAATATAGTATAATATGCGCACAATATGCTATAATATACACACAATATATTATAATATACTTATGATATACTATAGTATACCCCAATATACTTTATCATACCCACAATATACCATAATATACCCACAACATATACTATAATATTGTGATGGGAATCGTCTGCGATCTCCGAAAGCCTTTGTGGCTCCCTGGGGGTTGCATCGGCCGTGCATTTTCCATCGCCGCTCCCGGTCTCTGTGCCGTCAGAGCGGGTGCCCGGGACCAGAGTTGTGTGGGTTGAAGGGGGATTAGGTGGTTTAGGGTTTAGGGTTTAGGGACAAGGGGGTTCGGGGGGGTTTAGGGTTTAGGGGCAGGGGGGATTAGGGTTTAGGGAGCTTTGAGGAATGTTTTCGCATAAGGAATGAGGCCTTTGGGGGGTGTAGGGGTGTGCCAGGCATTTTCGGGATGAGTCGGATGAGTACATGTGAGCTTGGCTTACTGAAAGATTCTGGAGTTGTTTGGGTTGTTGGTTCCATGCTTGACGGCCTTGATGTTCTGAAGTAGTTCCTCTTGTTCTCACTTGTTTTAAAGTGTGTGGGGGGGAGGGGGTATCTGCACCCTGCAACACCTAAGCCCTTCCAAATCTCTCGGCACCACTAACCCTTATACCCATAAAGGGAGGTACTCCAAAAAATGGTCGGGCATAGGGGTCTAGGTAGACCCTTGAATCCTAAACCCTGAACCCCGAACCCTAAACCTAAACCCTAAATCCTGAACCCTATACTCTAAATCCTAACCCCTAAGCCTTAAGCCCTAAATCCAAAGCCCTAAGCCCCTCAATCCTAAACCTTGAGCACTGAGGCCATGAGGCTCCTCTTCCTCTTTCCATGCCTGGCGCTGGCCGACCTGGCCTTCCTCGTCCCAGCACCCGTCGGGCGCACGCCAGGGGGCGCCTGGGCAGACAGTTTAGGGTAGTTTTGGGTTTGGGGGGTTAGGGGTTTAGGGTTTAGGGCGGTTCAAAGAGGTAGGCTTTAGGGTGTAGGGGTTCGGGTTGAAGTTTAGGGCTGTTTTATTTGCGCTTTGGTTTGAGGTTTAAGGCTTGTGGATCTTGGGGTCTTGGGGTTTCGATCTCAGATGTAACGCAGGGTTTGGGGGTTTCAGTGGTTGCATGATTGGAATGGGGTTGTGGGGTACATCTTCCTCTTCTTCTGAGGAAAGGTGTGTGCTGTACAACTTTAGAGCAGTTTATGTTAGTGCCATTACGCCAACAGGTTTGACAGAAGAAGCAACTAGCCCTAGCCCCGATCCCTTTAGACCCGAGCCCTTTGCAATCCCGTGAAGTATCTATACTTCAATCTGCTGAACAGGAAGCGTACATGGGGCTACACTTGGTTTTCCTCAAGAGCTCTGAGAGAAAGCAATCTTAAACTTTTTTGTTGGATTCTTCCGGAACTGGGGCATAGCATGGATCTTAATGGGTAGGGGCAAGAAGCCATCTGAAACATTGTGCAACCGTATACGCAGCTTGCAAAGGTCACCATGTCTTTGGAACGAATCAGTTCTCACGAGATTCTTTACTGCTTTAGGTTCTCTCAGGATGTTCGCGAGTGTAGTGGTTTATCTCGTGCCCTGAGCCTCTAAGCGCAACACATGCAAATCCCTAGACCCCCAAACTTCCTAAACCCTAAATCCTCAGACCTCAAGTTCTCAAATCTAAAATCCCTAGATCCCAAAGCGACCCCTTGGGGCCAACTCCGCAGGTCTTATTTCCTCGGCTGCTCGCGATGCTGAGGTTCCTGCGCCAGCGAAGCAGGCAGTGCCTGCGGGAATGGGTTTAGGGTTTAGGGGGGCTATACAATTGCCTTTGGGGATTTCCCTAAATTCATACTACGAGCCTACGCAGCTGTCCCCATATTCCCCATTGTGGGAACAGTAATTCAGGCCAGGTCCTATGTACCGTAATAATTGGAACCAGTTGGAAGAATAAACGGAAACTAGGGATCCCTGGCCTCTTCAGGGAATGGCGCCTTTGTTGGAGTGAGGTGGGTGTTTGTACACATATTAAAAACATATATATATATATATATATGTATATATATATATATCTCACTCTCTCTCTCTCTATATGTTTTGCGTGCACGAGGCTTATTTATGGTACTCCCCAATGTAATTGTCCGAGGGCTGTTGCAGGCGGATATGGAGGACTCTCAGTGTATACCACATCTTGCGTCCTGACCCTACTTTCAAGCAGATCCTCCCAATACGGCCAGTCCCGGTTGCACTGTGGTTGTGGCATCTTCCCTTTACATCATCGTGTAGACATGAAACCCCACACCCTAAGCGCTATGCCCGCCTTGCTCCCTCCAGGCAGCCTCGTCGGGCATGAGTGCCACGCTGCTGCTGGGTGCCTCCGCAGTAGCGATGGCTCTGGCCCCTTGGCTCATTCATCCAAGGCAGTTTGAAGAGCCTTGCTTGCTTTTTGACGGGCTTTACTTACACCAGTCCTCCGTAGACTCCGGGGCGCGCTTCTGAGGGAGTGTGAATTGGTGGCTAGAATTCAGAACGAAGTCAACGGCACCCAGGCCACTTCACAGCAGCAGTATGGATCAGTGGGCTTGTCTTGGCCAGCTCCTATGACAGCCAATGCCCACCCCGTTACCACTGCCAAAGGAACCCCCCGATGTGATCCACTGTCCTGTTCAGATTAGCAAGAACATAATGCAACAGCCCAGACACATAGAAACCTGACTGTTAACAGTACTCCTCATTGATTCTTGAGATTGACTGAGTCCATCATCATATCAGAAGGCGGCAAGATCATGAAGTATCTTTACCTGTGAGTGACATCCACCAGAACCTCACCAAACGGTGCGAGGTTTATAGAGCCATCGTATAGATCAATGGGGCCTACCCTAAAGCCTAGCCCCCAAATGCCCCAACCCCTAAACCGATAACCCTAAAGCTTGAATCCTCACCTGAATAGTTTTTTTGGGTATAATAGCCCCTATTCTAGAATAGACTATATCCTCCCATTGGGTACAGTTTATCATATACAGAATATAATCTTACTGGGTTCTCAACCACCCCTAAACCCTAACCCTAAACACTACTCACCTGCAGGCGCGTCGCCGAGCTACCCTCGCCAGGCGAGTCTGGACCTACATGCCCATCGAGGAGGGACGACCAAAAGGGTAATATTCAGCGCAAGGAATTGATCACTGTCCCCAATTCAACGCCCTTCAGTCCCCCAAACTTGGATAGAATTTTTGTAGATACGTATGAGTGAGGGTTTCCCAAAATTAGGGGTACCTTTTTTTGGGTCCCCACACAAAGGATTAGAGTATTTTTGGGGTCTGGATACAATAGCTTCCGTTTCATTTTCCATTTTCTTTTCCATTCGATTCTCCATTGTTGGAAGATGTGGAGGAACCTTAAACGCTAAACCCTAAACCCTAAACCTATACATACGACATGCATTCCGGAGGCCAGGTTCAAGATGCGGGGCCAGGGGGAGTTGATATTAGGAAGAAGGGTCACTTGCGTCTCTTACTCCGGCTCCTTGTGATAGTTTTACTAGCTTTTCTTGGGCTTGCAGGGGTACAGGGCTCGTAGGGTCATGATGGCAATAGACATGACCATCTACAAGCTAACAGTAATAGTAATGTAATAGTAATGTAATAGTAGTAATAATAGTAATATTAATAGTAATAGTAATAATAATAATGGAAAAGAAAATGGAAACTACAGGGATTATAGGGTTATATGGGTACTCTTGAAACCTTAAACCCTGCAAACTACTGTATTGGAGCAGGGCAGGCTCAGCTCGAAAGAAGTGGATTCCTACTGCCATCAGAGGAGCCTGCATGACGGTTCCAGAATCCTTCCATATTAGGTTTATGCAAATGGGTTTACTACAAGGTTCCTGAAAATGATCATTAATTTCTGTTACCAACAATCCTAATATTTAGCTGAAATTATGATTTNNCAAATCCCTTAGAGTTTAGGGTAAGACCTTTTGCCTCTTGTTAGACTGTATTTTGCAGTCTCCAGGGTTGGAGGTACTGGTAGGACCAAGAAGCAGCTGCCAGAGCAGTTAGGATGACAGGGGCTCCAGATGGCAGGGTCCCTTTGCTGCTAAGCGTCCCGCCACCAAAGCATCACATGTTCTGAGAACAACTCTTTGAAATCAGGCTCAGAGATGCGAAGACTAGACCACCCTCCTCAGCGAAGAAGAACATAAGCCCCCTCTAGGCCAAGATCCTGTAGCATTCAAAGATTCCCCACATTTTCCTGTGACACCAATCCGTCCTGCACATGCCTAGTATGTAGGGAACTGGGCTACTTGGAGGGTCAGGGGGACTTAGTAACTAGGGTAATAATGGGGATACTTGGTGTTAGTATATGGCTTATAGGGGTTGTGGGTATTTTACTAAGTCTCCCTGACCCTCCAAGTACCCATCGCAGGGGAAGGATTGCCCCGGCTTGGGCAAGCAGGCCTCTGGGCCTCTTTGGCGCCAGTACATGTGTCTGGGCGAAATTTATCGATATCAGCCGATTTCACCCCAGATGGCCTTAAGCCTTAAACCTCGAACGCTGAGCCTTGGTGGTCTATATGAGCTATAGTCCAAACTCCTTAAAAGAAGGGTTGTATAGGGGATGATATAGAGGAATATGGTAGGGGTTATTAAGGGGGATACCTGGAGTTAAGATGATGGCTCACATAGAAACCAGTCAAACAATGGCCTTATTTCAGGTTTTGTAGTGGTTGTACTTCAGCCAGATGGGTATTGACAGAGGAACACGACACAGACGGACTGCTGGCAATCAGGAAGCCGGGCCCCTTAGAATGTCTACATAATTCTCGCATGACGTCCCTTGGTGTGCTTATTCGATAGTTTCCCCAAAAAAGGGGCACCCCAATACAAATCCCTCCATACTATTGAGATCCCTAAAGGGTAACCCGAATTTTGGGAATCCCTAAGCCCTAAACCTTACATAAACCTCATATTCCCCTAGGTCGGCTTTTAAGGGGCCATTTAGACTACTGCCAGAAGAAAATCCTCCAAGCCTGGCGCGGAACCGAGGAACCTGCATCGTCAGTCCAAGAAAACTATGGGCCGCAAGGTACCTTGTCCTTGAATTCCTGGTATTATATAGGGGGTTATATCGGGTTTAGGGTGTACGGTCAAGGGTCTAAACTCCCTAAAGAGGTTATATAGGGGATTATATGAGGGAGTATTATAGGGATTATTAAGGGGGATACTTGGAGTTTAGACTGTAGCTCAAGTAGTATATTCCGTTATTCACTACAATGAAACCGCCGTATATACCCTTTTATAATGTATCAGCTTCCATTTTCTTTTCCATTATCCCAATATAACCCCAATATACTATATAGTAGTTTCCGATTTCTTTTGCATTATCACTGCATAACCGGTGCCTTGATCTTTGTGCAGCAGTGTGGCTGCTTCTCAGAATGGGCTCTACGAAGCCTGTAAGGGAATGTGGGCTTCGGATTTAGGGTTTAGGCTTTAGGGCCTGGTGGTTTTATCCTAAACCCTAAACCCTTTTGAGAAGCCATGCAGCTCTCTTTTGCGTATGGCTCGTACTACATCGTCAGATTTGAGGCTGATGTAGCTGCACCTGTTGGTCATCTGGAGAGTACGACCGTTGATGCGGTCTTGAAGTAACTTCGTTCTGGGTATTGTTCTCTTAAAGGGGACTATACCCCTATATTACCTATATAATCCTACATAACCCCAATATACTATAATAGTTTCTTCTTTCTTGTCCATTATCCCTATAACTCCTTAAAGGGGATTCCCCTGGTGGCAAAGGGCAAGTTTAAGTTTGTGCCAGGTCCGCTATCTCAAGCAGCAGCGAATCCTGCGTGACCACAATGTGTGGTGGGGCTGGTATGGCAAGTGGCACACCTGGAACCCCCACCCGGGCATCAAGAACCTCTACCAGGCACTTGGCGGAATTTTGCGCCTTGCAAGGGTGGTGGCGCAGCACAAGCATGCACTCTGTACATTTGCAGCGTTGCCAGACATGTGAGCTACTGTCAAAATTAGCCTTATCAAGGGACCCTTAACAGTGGACACCGGGGGCCCTCTTCTAGTTGAGTATACTAGTCCCTACTAGGGAACCCAAGTCCATTGAATTATGAGGGAAATATTGACTGTATCTCATATGCTCTATCCAGCCTAGGGATAGAGATCCTCAAAGGATCAGGGGTCAAGCGTCCAAATGAGAATCGTCACGCTAAGGGTGGCTGCTGCAGTACTCTTCCATTTTGATCCACTTTATGCTGTTCTGTAGCTAGTAAATATTTCGTATTTGCATTCCTAGATTTTCAAAGGTTCAGGTTTCTTTGTCTTTGTTGGCGTAGAATCGTGAGTATTCCCGTTAGTGATGAGTAGTCCCAATACTAATATAGTACCAGCATAGAATGGGGAACATGAAAGGCGATGGGGTGATGGGGATTTTCGGAGCCCAGGGGGTATCAAGGGTTTCGGGTTTAGGGTTCCTTACTGCCTTTCATCATGTTTCGGCCTCCGGTCTGGATTTGAATTGTCAGAGGTTCCTCCAAACTGTGGGTCTTTGTATAGGGGTCCAACAGCTTTAGGGCTCAATTTTGCTGGCATGTAGGGAGATCATAATATTGAGAAACTTGTATTGCAAAGTAGCGACGCCCCAGCTGTCAGAACGTTGCATCTACATTTGAAGTCAGGGTGTGTGTGCTGTGAGCCCAAAACACGGAAGTTGTAAACATTTCGTCGTAAAACATGTCAAAGCACATGACAGCATGCTTCGATGAATAAAGTTACATGTTCTCAATGGGGGTATCCTAAAATTAGGAGTACCATTGTGGGGTCTCCATAATTATTTGGGATCTAGATTGGCCCCTCCTCCAATATTTGGAAGTTTACTAGGCTCTGTCACCAGTACTAGCTCAGGTTGTAAGGCAATGTATAGCCTGGGCACCGTGACCTTCAAGTAGAACCTGAGACTCTCCTAAACTTTCAACCTCAAAACCCAAAACCTTTAGATCCTAAACACTAAACCCTAGTCCCAAAACCCTTGAATCCTAAACCCTAAACCCTAAACCCTTAAATCCTAAACCCTAAACTCCCAAACCCTTAGATCCTAAACCCCAAACCCAAAACCCTTGAATCCTAAACCCTAAACCCCAAACCCCAAAACCTTAAACCCTAAGCCCAAAACCCTCAAACCCCAAACCCTTAAATCCTAAACCCAACCGAGTATTCAACTGGCCAGGGCCCGGAGTCGCACCCGGACAATCCAGATGCTTGGGGAGGTTTAGGGTCTAAGGATCTAAGGATTTAAGGGTTTAAAGTTTTGTGGTTTAAGGATTTAAGGGTTTGAGGGTGGAAGAATGCTCGGAGAGGTTAGGGTTTAAGGCTTTAAGGGTGGAAGGGTCAAAGGTTTAAGAGTTTCAGGGGTGACAGGTTTTGAGGCTGGAAAGGTTTAGGGCTTCAGTGTTTAGGGTTGATGAGAGGATCGGTTGTTCCCATTTGTTTGTAGGTTCTTTTCGCTCTCGATTGAAACTACTGGTTGGATGAACTACGGAAACGAATCTGATGTGAAGAAATTTCTGATCTGTGGCAGGCGGAAAGTATCTGAGAGTGTGAGAGACTTCGATCAGAACTTTGAGGTCCCATAACTTCCAGGTTGTAGGTAGGGAATAAGGGAATAGAATCCCTATGTAATCCCTAATTATACAGTATGTTCCCTTATTCCCTTCTCAGAACCAGTAAGATAATGCAGTTCCAGTCTTCCAGCAATGCGTTGCCTGAAACGAAAAATTCATACCCCTCATTGATCAAACCATGTGGTGGCGATGCACGCGCAAATGTGTGTGGATGCCACCTAAACCCTAAACCCTAAACCCTAAATCCAATGTATTGACATTGGTTTTGTAAAGTTCTCTGGAACCTTCCGAGGTAAGGCTTCCAGAAGCACGAAAAGCAGAGTCTGAACACCTGCAACGCTCAACATGTCTTCTACATTAGGAGGACCCCCCACCCTGTAATAGTGGTATAATAGGAATATAAGAGGACCCTAATATGATCCCTATTACCCCCTATAGTCACTACCTAACTTCTACAAGGTGTAGCCAAAAGTATTTGCACTCTGCACCCCGAAAACCTACATCCCAAACCCTTAACCATCCTGTTGTTTTTAAGCCCCTCATGCTCTGCACGCTAACGCCCGAATTCTAAACCCTTTTGCAGGAAGCCCCTTGACCCTCGTAGTTTCCATCTCATTCTCCATCTGATTCTCCAGTATCAGAGAGCAAGTCTATACAACCCTACATAATATAGCCCGCCATATAGCACCAGCCAAGGATTTCCCTGCGCCCAACAGCGGCCTCCAGGCTTTTGGAGGCCGGGGCTTTGCCGACCCGAACAGCTCGGACTCCATGCCTTGCTGGCTTTACCATGTGGGTGGTTGTCAAAATTATGGGCCCCTTTGATTCTAGATCATATTACGGCACTTAATATTAAGGGGTACCAAAATGGGACCTTAGTTTTGGGAACTACCCTAACCCCTGTAGCTGTAGCTTCTTAGTCGAACGAACGCGAAGACGAAGGGCGTTTTGTGCCATAACCTTGCAGAGCCCCTAGATCTCCCTATAGCACCCCCCCCAATGACCCAATACACTTCAGATTTTGCCTATATAACCGCAATCTTACCCCGTATAAACCCTATGTTATCCGTGTATAACCTCTATGTAAGCACTACGGCTTGTCGCCCCCCTAACCAGCCATTGTCCAACAAGCCTGTCAAAATCACAGTCTGATAGTTTCCCGAAAGAATGGTGGATTTTGGCCCCAAGTCGATATGGTCGTTTCCCAAAATTAAGGTACTCCAATATAGACCCCAATATACTATAATCCTTAAAATGGGGACCCCCAAAATGGTACCTCTAATTTTGGGAAACCCCCATATGGTCATTAATTCCCGGCACCCTGAAGCCATTCTCTCTCGGACTTCTAGAGGGTTTAGGGTACCAAAGCCCCACCTAGACCTGTTGACTGGATTGGATAAAGATTGGGGCCACACTATACCTAACACCACCAGCTGAGAGAACCTGAAGCCGCAGACCGACTCTTCACAAAATGGGAGGCAGGGCTCTCCAAACCCTCCCCCACCCGCCTCAACCTCAAATCTCGAGGGTCCCGCATCCTTGATCTTCAAACATGCGGATCCGACGTATGCGCCCCGAACCCGCAAGCCCCTGTACCCCTAACTACTTACGGCTTAGTAGTAATTACCCCCTATAGATAGTAGGTATAACCCATTAAACTGTAGGTAATAGTGGTTATAGTCCTAAACCTTATGTACACCTTATATGTCCCTACATAACCCCTGTATAGTCCCTACTTAAGGGGACCCTAAGTCCTCAGAGCCATGCACCCAGGCAGCCGTCCAGTGGCGCCTGCAAGCAGCCGCAGCGCCTTCGTGGCTGGAAGGCGTGTTTTGAGAAACCTTGAGTTAGGGTTTAGGGTTGAGGGTTTAGGGTTTAGGGTTTAGGCTTTAGGGTTGGCAATCAGATTTTGCAGGGTTCAAGTGTTTGTTAAGGTGCCTGCCGAATTCTGCAACTGTAAAGACCATTCGGGGGACCATGCAGCGACCAACTATGGATCCTGGAATGTTTCCAAACCAGGGCAGACCAGGTGCGATTGCTTGGCAGAATGACGACGCATCAGGGTGTAGCACTTGGGTTCGAGAGCTGCAGTTTCAAAGTTCAGGTTGTATGTTTAGTGGCGGGCATGTGAGGTCAGGTATAGATGTTTGAGGATCCGAGAGTGCACAGGACTGCGATGTGCATGGCGTCTTTGAACAAGGATGGAGACTCCGCAAGGGGGATCAAGTGGCTATGGACGAGTCAGAACTTAAGATTGCAAGTTTAATCATGTTGACGTGATTGTCCAACCTGCGATCTCCATATCGTTGGTATGGCCAATCCAAGACAATGGGATTAAGAGCGCCCAAAGGCAGGCACATCAAGCAAGAAGCCGCCAAGGCTCATAGCACGGACAGGATGATTTATGAGAGCGGCGCCCCTTAAGGCTAAAGCTTAAAGCATGCAGAGCTCCATTCTGCTTTCAGGCACTCCAGGATTACACTTGAACATGCTCTAACCCTGCCCACACCAAACTTGAAAGTAAAATCCCAATACAACCCCAACATAACCCCAATATAACCCCAATATAATCCCAATATAAGAACCGGATGCTGTCACCAGCAGGGCACCAACCATGGGCTCTGCTAAGCGTGCAGTCTCCAAGCTCAAATTTGTTGCCGGTGCGGGAGAGGGTCAGTTGAATGCTTCAAATACCCAATGATATAGGGATAATGGAAAATTAAATATATTAAATGGAGACTGCTATAGTATAATGGGGTATGTTTTCTATAGTTTTATTCGGATTCCTTGACGAGACTGTTTGCCTTGGCGGCGGGTATTTTCTGTTTCAGGGAGGGGATTGGCTTGGAAGGTGTTTGTGCAATGGGCCTTGCGGGTCATTGGCGGCTTACAGGATTCCGGGCCTGGGTTTCCTTGGGTGCAGAAAGGGTTTAGGGTTTAGGGTTTAGGGAGAAGTAGTAGTTTCCCAAGATAAAGGGATCCCACAATAGACCCCGGTATATTCTAATTCTTATTACGAGGACCCCCCGAAATTCACCTCTAATTCTGGGAAACCCCAAGCCAAAACCCCTACAGAATCCCAGTTTCCATTCCATTTTCCATTTTATTCTCCCTGTTGTGTAAGATCCGAGGCCATCTGGAAGCCTACATACAGTGGTTTAGGGTTTAGGGTTAAGCCCTAGTGGAATGGCTCCATGTCAATTGACCGTGTGGCTGACATGCGCCTCTTATCCCTCCAAAGCTTTTTCAGGCATATGCATCAGGTGGACTCCCCACCCAGTACTAGTGACTACAATGACTACGCGAGATCATGGTGATTTTATATTAAGATCCTCTTACCTTCCTCATATACAGGGTGGGGGTCCACCTAGCAAATAGACCCCAATATCTTATCATCCTCATTATTGAGGACCTCAAAATGGCCCCCTAATTTTAGGAAACATTGGACTCTCTGAGGTTCTGTCTGCTACTCGAGCGCGGTCTGGGCTGGTGATGAAGGCCCATAAGAAGGCGCACCTGTTGGTTTGGGCCGTACGTATTTGTATCTTGCTGCACACCCCTCAACCTTAAACCCTAAACCATTCTGTCGGGCTCAAGGCTCAGCAGTGCAGGGCATCTAGACCTGGCCAGTGTTGGAGTGATGCCAAGTGCCTCCAGCACCACAAGCTATGTTGTGCGGGTTGCAAGAACTGCTGAAGATATCGCTGAATGTCAGTCTCTGCGCCGCAATGTCTTTGTCGTCGAACAACAGATTCCAGCAGATACTGAGAGGGATGGCAAGGACCAGGATGCCTTTCACATCATGCTCTGTCTGGAAGAGTGTCTGGTTGCCACGGGACGAGTCCTCGTGAAGAGCGCTGCCGGTGGCCCTGCGAAAGCCATCCTTGGCCGAATCGCGGTCCGCACCGAGCATCGAGGGCAGGGACTTGGTAGTCGGGTCGTGCAGGAGCTTGAGACGCTGGCCAGAGCAGAAGGCGCAGCCCAAGCCACTTTGTCTCCACATCACTACCTGGAGCCGTTTTATGCACGCATGGGGTATCAGAGACCTTCAGGCGATGAGATCATAAACCTGACTGACCGCCATCTGCTCATCACAATGGAGAAGGGCCTTGATGCAGCCTAATGTGTTTGGATGGTTTGGACTAGAGCAGTCTCTGTACAGTTGCTCAGCGATTTTGCTTCAGCTTGTAGGATGCAAATCATCACACATCCATGAACAGCAATGCGAGATGTTGGTGACATGTGCGTAAGATGTGTGCTTGTTGCTCTCAAGAACTCAGTCTGTTACTGGTGGTTAGTATAGAGAACAAAGGAATAGATTCCCTTGTCCCCTGTTAAACTCCCCAATAAGGCGGTTGCATTCATGCAGATGTGTGCTTGAGGCATGCTGGACCCTGCACGGAAATCATTCTGGCACTTGTATGGTTTGATGTTGATTTAGGAGCCCGTGCGGATAAGTTTGAACCTAGATATTGTTGTGTGACACCTATATGTGTACATATATATATAT